GTAGAGAGAGAGAGAGAGAGAGGGAATAGTGGGTGGTGGGGGAAGGGTAAGCAACATTAACACCTGCCACTTTCAATGATGGGTGCTCAAGGTGCCATAGGCAGAGATATTACAGCTGTGAAAGTGATGCTGAACAGAGGGAAAAAACTGATTCTGAGCCTTGGATTAACTGAACCTTGGCATAGCTGGTGGTGGGAGGGAGAAATAGGTGTGGCAAGGCACTTGTATGTTATCTTTGATCATCAAGAATCTGGACCTGGGTGGGGACTAGTCTGTTCCCTCGCAGAAGCTAGAGCAGCCCTCAGGTTGCTCTAACTTATTCTACTGCAACAGCCCATTGGGACGGGTGAGGCAACTGTTAATAGTTATAGATCATGCTCCTTATTTGAGCTGTGTAATTTAGAGCTGTTCTGCTGATACTATTCCTCTTAGTGAGTTCCTTTATGCTGGGGAATTCCCAAGTAGTCATAGGGTTGCCAACTTTCCAATTTCTGAAAATTGGATACCCCTGTTCCTGCTGGGGAGCTATGCCCCGCCTGCCCGACACTCCTGGGGTGGGCTGGTTGCAAAGCACTAGAGCCTGCCAACTTCTGCCACCCGGAGCGAGCAGGCGACTGAGTTCCCAAGGAGCACTGCCGGGGGGGTGGTCAGGCTACTATCTGGGTGGTTATCATGCCATGTACGGAGCCAGGACTAGCAGCCCAGCTCAGGCTGGCCCTTGATGGCAGTGCACTGAGTCCGGGCCCCTCTGCTACCAGGAGCGGGTGAGCAGAGCAGGGCCAGGGGCTGCTCTCCAAAATGCTCCTCTCCCGACATCAGTGCCCCACAGGTAATGGACTGCCTCCTTCCTTCCCGTGGTCTCTCCGGCATGCTCGGGAAGCTTGCCCTCCCGTCGTCTGCTCTGCTCGCAGTGCCGCTGTGAACCTGCAGGCGCTCCCCTGCCCCAACCCTGGGCTAGCCGCCTCCTCAACCAGAGCCACCTCCTCGGCCTATGAAAGGCCCCCCTGTAGATGCCGCTGAGGCTCTGGTCTTCCTGCCCTCTCGGTGGGGAGGCTGATTGTGGTTACTCTGGTAACCAGACTTTTAGTGTCCAGTTAGCAGTGCTGACCAAATACTGCCAGGTTCCCTTTTCAACCAGATACCTGGCAACCCTAAAGTCGTACCATTGTAAAGGAGCTACAGCAGAACCTAGACCTGGACCCAAAGAGCCAAACATGGCCCAAAAGACAGTACGTGACTCCCAGCCTTAGAGTATCCCTTGCTTTACCAATTGGTGGTCTTCTGAATTTTTTAATATAAAAAAGTATTGTATGTCTGATTTGTTTTGAAACAGGGCAGAGAAAACTTATTGGAAGCTGATGTGAAGCTCTCAGACTTCACCATTTGTAGGCAGGTATGAATCTCCTGACCTGAGGAGGGGAGTGTGGGATTCGAGCTAATCCAAAATTTGTTGAATAATGTATCTAACTTCCCAATATTTTAAAGCAAATTATCCAATTGATTCTTTTCACCCATTTTCTAGCTATTTGTCTACCATACAGAGAAAATACATCATCAACCATATCCATTGGCAATGGAGAGTATCTGTACGTCAAATGAAATATCAAAAAAAGGTATTTTGTTTTGCTCAGCTAGAGATGGGATATCTTTATAGTAGAGGTACATCTGTACCAGGGCCAGCTCCAGCATTTCTGCTGCCCCAAGCAAAAAAAAAAGCGATCGGCAGCGGCAATTGGAAAAAAAAAAAAGCCGCGATCGGCGGCGGCAGTTCAGCGGCAGGTCCTTCGCTCCTAGAGGGAGTGAGGGACCTGCCACCCCCGAATTGCCGCAGGTGCCACCCCTCTCCCTTGGCCGCCTCATGCACCTGCTTGTTAAGCTGGTGCCTGGAGCTGGCCCTGATCAGTACCAAAACCCCACAGTCAAACACTCCCAAACTTTATTGGGAAAGGGGAAGGAAGGGTAATAATCTGAACTCTGACCCAGATCTGATTTTTGGGGCTTGAGGCCATCTCCAGTTAATATCATAGAGAACCTGGGGAAGGTCATATTAGGAAAGTCCTGTTTTCCCTGATTCTTTCTCTGCTGCTGACTGTAGGAGGGCCAGGGAATAGGGTAATCATGTTAATGAGTGGGGGTAGCTTGCTGAGGCCTCTCAGACCCCAAAAGCGGACTGGGCTTCCCTTCCTCAAACGCCTGGAAGCTTTGGTTATGCGCCATGCAGAGTCCGGGGCGGCTGGGGAGGAGGCGGTATCTGCTGCTATTCAGCTTCCCGGGTTCATTAGTAGTCTCCGTGTGTGGCTCTCCTCTGAAGCAGTCACACAAAAGAGCTGGTGCGGCTGGTCCCGGTCGGTCTGTGAGGAGCAGGAGTGGCGGCGAAGGGGCGGCATAGTCCCAACCCAGGTAAGCGGGGGTGAGGAGGTAACACCCCGGCAGCCAGCCCTCCACTGGCGCTTGCTGGGGCTTTGCTCCCAGAGAGGGGTCAGCAGAGAAAGGGGCCGGCCGAGTGAGGGGCTGAGTGAGAGCCTTTGTGCCCCAGGCACGGGGAGGAGGGAACCGCTGTAGACACCTCGCCCGCTGGGAGCTCCCTCAGGAGCGGGGAGTAGGATGCTGCAGTGCTGGCAGGGAAATAGTGTGTGGAAGCCCCTTGAGTGCCTTGCAGTGTGTTTGTGTGTGGGGAGGGGGTTAGATGCTGCATGCAAGTCCCACTCCCCCACCCCAAGCGCTCCTTGCAGTGTGTATGTTTGTGTGGGGGGAGGGGACCTGACGCTGCATGCAAGTCCCATTCTGTTTGTGTGGCAGATACTGCATTCAAGTCCCACTCCTCTACCCTGACCGAGCTCCTTGCAGTGTGTGTCTGGGGGAAGGGGCCAGATGCTGGATGCAAGTCCCTCTCCCCTACCCTGAGCTCCTTGCAGTGTGTGTTGAAGGGGGAGGGGGGCAGATGCTGCATGCAAGCCCCATTCTCCTACCCCGAGCTCCTTGTCCTGGTGGGATGCTGATAACAGGATATTGCATGTAGTCTCTCCCTCCCCCCTAAACCAATCGACCAACCACATTTTAGCTCCAGCTAGTGGGGGGAAATTAAGCTCCTTGAAAGGGGTCTGTGGGGCGGAGAACTGCCCGCAGTGCCACCCTTGCAGAGCGAGGATTTTGCTGCCACCAAATCTCATCCCCATTCTCTCGCTATTGCGGAGGAGGAAACCAACCCTGCCAGCAGTGCAAAGAGAAGCCAGATTGGAAAGAGACTCCAACAGGAAGAGTGTAATTTTACTAATATGATAGTTTATTTAATGTGTAGCAGCTGATGAGAGAGGGCATTGCTTGGTCGATCTGTTGCTATGATTTGGAAAGGTGATGGTATTGATGGTATTTATATAGCTGTGTCTGGTGCAGGGATGGATTCAGAAGATGTTCTCTGCCTGGTACAGAAGTGCTTTTCTTTCTTTCTATTGTGGTAACATAGTGGTGGCAGGGAAGCTTTAATACAGCTGCCTCATTTCAGTCAGATGAGAACTGGAAATGGGAAGTGTTTATATCCAGAAAGTTGCTGCTGCTGGGATCACCTTTTTCTCTGACTGCAGTCAATGCTGTATTCTGTTTTTTCTATTTTGTGCTTCTATCCCTCTTCTACTAATTTATATCTGCAATATTTTAGAGTGTAACTTTTACAATTTTTGTTATTACCTCATTATCTAATATTTTGTCTGGAGTGTGTGTATATGTACACGTGGAATGTTTATATAGTGTGTGTATGTATATTTAATTGTCAGTACCTAGCTCTAAAGTAAGTGTGTGTGTGCGTGTATATCTACACACATTGCTCATCTACAGTGCTGGAGAATTCAGAGTTAATTTGTTTTAAGATCGAAAAACACAGAAGAGAAGTCTTCATGTGATGCACCCCTCTTAGAATTTATATTTGTTTCTGGTTTATCATGCCTCCAGTGTAGCAACTGAATTAGAGCTTTTGATCAACTTTTTTCCCCCCCTTCTCCTTCATAATGAGGTCTGGAGGGAAAAGCTACTCAATTAAAAATTCTCCACTTCATTTTTCTTAAAGTAAACAGTGTGACAAATTATAACATGATTTCCCCCCTCCCCTCCTTACCAGCTTTACTATGATCAGATGATGGGGTTTTTGATATTGCCAGAGGGGAAGAGGGGGTCCTGTGTGTATGAGGCTGAATGTTCAATAGGGAAGAATTGACATGCTTTGCCTTAACAATTGGCAGTCTGTACTTTTTGATTTACAAAGTTAGTTTTCTCGGTACCCTTCTGTTGGTGGTTATATATAGCAAGGACATAAAAGGAGAATTCAGTAAGGTTTTCTTTTTCTTATTTCTATGTAATATAATCTTTATATAGGTATACTTTATAGTTGCTTTTTATTCTGCCTTGAGATGGTTTAAAAAGACCAACCATCTTAGCTTTGCAAACAGGCCGTAGTAATTTAAGTGATGATTTTCAATCATCCTAGCCTGTCAAGATATTCACCAGAATATCACAGGAAATGGTGGTGTTTTTGCAGGAAGGGTATTTTAGGCATTTACTGATTCTATTGCTCAACAAATCTTATTAGTTCTGCAAGCCAGTGGAACTATAGATAAAAGAAGATAACAGCTACAAGGCATCTTAATTTAACTTGGATATCTGTAGTGTGCAGTATATATGGCATATAGTGATAAAATAGTAAACGATTTTTGTAAATATTTTGATATTCTTGTAGTTTCCCATGCAAGACTGTAAGCCATCCAGGGGTTATGGCTATGATATGTGCAGATACTTGTCTACATCTTGATTTTTCTGATTTTAGCCGACTGTACTGAGAAGCTATGTTTCGGAAATGAGTTGTCTTATTGGCTGGGGTTAAAATGGAAAACTCTGAAACTGACACTTCTCAATATGTCTGAGTTGTACAGACCTTTCTTAGGAAGATGCAAAGAATTACATATGTTTTTCTCCTATTCCTTCTACTGTGTTTAACTTCATCTTATTACTATGGATAGGTGGGAAAAACAGCTGTCCTGACACTCTTTGTGTTAGTACATCTGCTGGTCTCTATGGATGTGTTTCTTTCTTGCAGACCTGCTCTTCATAGGCTCTGGCTCCTTGAGACTTAAACTTGCATTTTCTAGTATATTAGCCCCTCTTCTTTCTGCTTTTAAACTAATGCATCCTGACTAGAAGCAACCTCATTCATGTCAAAAAGAGGCAAACCAAATTCATCATAACCTTTTCCCCTTCCCCACTTGCTTCTCCTGACCTTTTAAAGTCATTTTAAAATGTTTAGAAAACATCATTGCCACCATTGGTGTAGGATGGATGCTCTAGATGAGAAGAGTTAAATGAGATCTGTGATGGGAACTCTTCAAAACTGAGCTCAGTTTTGGGGAAACAAACTTGTTTTGAGATGGAAAACAGCATAAAAATATGCCTCCCTGTGTCATTCTGCCTCTGTTTGAGGTGGAGCACAGATGTCACAGACTTTCACCCACTGTGCTGGATGAGGTGCCGGGCATGTGCCAAAAAAGGGCTTTCGCTTTTCATGGTAGGGAATATAGCTTTGGTTAAACCTGCCCAAATAGCATATCCAAGAATGTTTCTCACTGCTGCTGATTTTCTCCCCCGCTGACCCTCATCCTCCCATCAACAAAGGCAACTTCGCCAACCTAGTGAAAGGATAGATTGTTCCTGCATGATATGTACTAGCTTATGTGGAGAAACATGCAACATTAAGCTTTGTTTCTCTCCTTAAAGAAACCTAGTGGGATGGTCTCAAAGTTCATGCCCAAGCTCTGGTTGGTCAAAAGAATTAGTTCTAATTAGGCTTCAAGCACCTAACTTTCAGCTACCAGCAGTTTATACTACCATGCAAGAGACACCAACATCACTAAGTTTCTTTATTTTTGTAACACTTATTTTTTTCCTGTAATCCTTTCATCCTTTTCCTTTCTTATATATAGGGACTTCCTTAAAATACATTAAAAAATTATTCAGGGATCAAGAGAGACAAATGACATAGTAGGTAGATAAATTGCTTGACTTTTGGAGGCATTTATAGCTCAAAATAGGAAAGTTTTCCTTCCTCCTCTTCCATCTTTAGCTGAAGAAAAATGAATTTATATATATAACATTTAAATGCATGAACTGGGGGGGACACTCGGGTCCTCATCATGATATCTGATATATGTTGCACTCTGATCCACCTTCACCAGATTGTAGGATTGAGACTTTTGTTTGAAATGTGTAGCTCTTGCATTAATAATATTCTTGTGAGTCTCAGTGATACTTCAGCAAAAATAAGCAAAAACAGAACAATTATCTAGTGATTTCAGGTACAGAGTTCAAATCCTGTTTAGGTTATGTTTTTATGTTAAAAAAATCATATTACTCTGCTCTGTGTCAAGTTTCAACAATTATCTTTATTATTCAAAAATATTTATTGACCAAAAATACATTTCTTTTGGTTGAAGAACCAAAATAGAATGTATGCGTCAGTCTTACTCCCCAAGACATGAAGAATTTGTGTCTACCCTCTATTATTCAGCTTTTTCTGACAGCCCCTGAGGACTTTCCCCTAAGGACAAATGTGAAGATGGAGAGGGGAGTTTGAAAATAGGGTTCTGGTAGCCTTGCCTGTGTGTCTCAGTATATCCAGATAACATTCTTCTGAACGTTTATCTAGATAAATTTCTGGATGGTTAGCCAAACACCAACACTTCTGAAAATACTCTGACATCCACCAGAATGCACCCCAGTCCTGCCATTTTATCTGGAGAATTGTACCTGGGGTACTCACCTTCGAGCAGTTGGCAACTATTTGAGGGTAATTTGTGTCTAGAAGGTTACTACTAACAACTTGGATAGTTAAGTGATTGCGAGCCATCAGGTACCCAGATAAGGTTTTATCACCTGTACATTAATAGCTTGTCTCAACTCTAACAAAAGTCAGTGCTCATTGGCATGTTTTTTCCATTGTATTTATTTAACTTTAATAGGCTCTCTCTGGTGTCTGATATTGTATTGTGGGAGATGCTCAAAGGCACAGGGTAGTTCATTGTGCATTTGCCATTGACTTTCAGTGAGAGTTAGGTGTCTAACTGCACATCATGCCTTTGAAAATCTCCCCCTCATCTTTACAGTTTCCCATAATCTATTTTGGATGTTGTGTATTAAAATTTTGATTGAGACTTTTCTACCTGAGCAATTGCGTCTAATAAAATGCTACTTTGTCCTCTTCTAATGCCTCTTTGCCCGAGGATCTCGCAGTCACTACAGAATAGGGGTCTGACCCTGCAAATCTTTCCCTCATGGAATTCCACACACAGGAAGACAGGTCTTGCCAGATCCAGTCCTGTGGTATTTTTGAAGCAACTTCAGTGAGAGTCTTGCCTCATTATAAAGCAGAGGTCCCCAAACTGTGGGGTGCACCCTCCTGGGGGGACACAGAGGAACGTTCAGGGTGGGTGCAGCTAGGGTTGCCAATTTTGGTTGGACATATTTCTGGAGGTTTCATCACATGACAAAATATTTAATTAAAGATTAATCTCTAATTCCTGGAGACTCCAGGACAATCCTAGAGGGTTAGGTGTGGCTGGGACCTGGGCCAGCCCCCACGGGGGCGGGGAGGGAGTGCCACCCAGCTCCGCCTTTGGCCCCACACCCCCAGATGTGGCCCTGCCTTGGCCCCCTTACAGCTGTCCACATCTCCCCTGCTGCCAGACCCGGTTTGGGCATGGACGGGGTAAGGGGGGCCATGAGGTAAAAAGTTTGGGGATGACTGTTACAGAGGTTGGATTGGCCCCATTAGCTGTGTCCCGCAGCACACTTGTAAGGTGGCTAAAGGAAATGTAGTGCTCACTGACTAACTGAAATGCAGTTACCTCTGCTGTGATTGTGAAACAAAGCAGCTGCAGCTCATAGCAGCCTTATAGGACAGGTTTTAGGGCATGAAGTGAGGAAGAATAACAACACTGTGTCCAATTGAAATGGCAAAGGAGTATTTAGGGAAGCAGAGAGTTATTGGCTACAATGGAATTGGTTCAGGCAGGGAGGGGGAGAAATGCTGATCCCTTGTTCAGTGGCATTTAAGACTTCAAATTAGGTTGTCCGAGAAAACATATTTTTTTAGGGTGGGTGGCAGGGATGGTTTGGTCCCATTCTTTCAAGTAAATTAAAATGAGATATTGTTGCTGCTGTGATTGTGTAAAAAGCATTTTTCTGCTTCTTCTGCTTTTGTTTGTGTGGGTGACAGCTAAGTG